ACACTCTCGACATAGTTAAGATTAACGACCTTCATATCACACCAAGGAAAAACAACAGGGCACACTCTCGACCATAGTAAAGATTAACGACCTTGATATCACACAAAAGAAAAACAACTAGTCACACTCTCGACCATAGTTAAGATAAAAGACATTCATATCACACAAAGGTTAAACAACAAGGCACACTCTCAACCATTATCAAGATTAACGACCTTCATATCACACCAAGGAAAAACAACAGGGCACACTCTCGACCATAGTAAAGATTAACGACCTTCATATCACACAAAGGAAAAACAGCAAGGTACACTCTCGACAAAGTTAAGATTAACGACCTTCACATCACACCAAGGAAAAACAACAGGGCACACTCTCGACCATAGTAAAGATTAACGACCTTGATATCACACAAAAGAAAAACAACTAGGCACACTCTCGACCATAGTTAAGATAAAAGACATTCATATCACACAAAGGTTAAATAACAAGGCACACTCTTAACCATAATAAAGATTAACGACCTTGATATTATACAAAGAAAATACAACAAGACACACTCGCGATCTTAGTAAAGATTAAAGACCTTCAAATCACATAAAGGAAAAACAACAAGGTACACTCTCGACCATAGTAAAGATTAACCACCCTTAAATCACAAAAAGGAAAAACAACTAGGCACACTCTCGACCATAGTTAAGATAAAAGACATTCATATCACACAAAGGTTAAACAACAAGGCACACTCTCAACCATAATAAAGATTAACGACCTTCATATCACACCAAGGAAAAACAACAGGGCACACTCTCGACCATAGTAAAGATTAACGACCTTCATATCACACAAAGGAAAAACAGCAAGGTACACTCTTGACATAGTTAAGATTAACGACCTTCACATCACACCAAGGAAAAACAACAGGGCACACTCTCGACCATGGTAAAGATTAACGACCTTGATATCACACAAAAGAAAAACAACTAGGCACACTCTCGACCATAATTAAGATAAAAGACATTCATATCACACAAAGGTTAAATAACAAGGCACACTCTCAACCATAATAAAGATTAACGACCTTCATATCACACCAAGGAAAAACAACAGGGCACACTCTCGACCATAGTAAAGATTAACGACCTCGATATTATACAAAGAAAATACAACAAGACACACTCGCGATCTTAGTAAAGATTAACAACCTTCAAAACACGCCAAGGAAAAACAACAAGGTACACTCTCGACCATATAGTAAAGATTAACCACCCTTAAATCACAAAAAGGAAAAACAACAAGGCACACTCTCGACCATAGTAAAGATTAACGACCCTCAAATCACACAAAAGAAAAACAACAAGGCACACTCTTGTAATTCACGTTTTCCTATTCGATCGATGTACAATTTTTACCCAATTTTCAGAATTACAGTATTTTTTATCTCACAAGTACGAATAGTTAAACTGATCTGTATTTTGAGGAGAACCTGGTTCAAGGTGTTTCCTAGGGTACAAGAGTAGACAGATGTATACACTCCTTATGCCTGTACGTCACTGGTTCTAGGTGTTTCCTGGGGTACAGGAGCAGACAGGTGTATACACTCCTTATCCTGTACGTCACTGGTTCTAGGTGTTTCCTGGGGTACAGGAGTAGACAGGTGTATACACTCCTTATCCTGTACGTCACTGGTTCTAGATGTTTCCTGGGGTACAGGAGTAGACAGGTGTATACACTCCTTATCCTGTACGTCACTGGTTCTAGATGTTTCCTGGGGTACAGGAGTAGACAGGTGTATACACTCCTTATCCTGTACGTCACTGGTTCTAGATGTTTCCTGGGGTACAGGAGTAGACAGGTGTATACACTCCTTATCCTGTACGTCACTGGTTCTAGGTGTTTCCTCGGTTACAGGAGCAGACAGGTGTATACATTCCTTATGCCTGTACGTCACTGGTGCTAGGTGTTTCCTGCGGTACAGGAGTAGACAGGTGTATACACTCCTTATCCTGTACGTCACTGGTGCTAGGTGTTTCCTGGGGTACAGGAGCAGACAGGTGTATACATTCCTTATGCCTGTGCGTCACTGGTGCTAGGTGTTTCCTGCGGTACAGTAGTAGACAGGTGTATACACTCCTTATCCTGGACGTCACTGGTTCTAGGTGTTTCCTAGGGTACAGGAGTAGACAGGTGTAGACACTCCTTATCCGGTACGTCACTGGTACCAGGTGTTTCCTGGGGTACAGGAATAGACAGGTGTATAAACGCATTATGCCTGTACGTCACTGGTGCTAGGTGTTTCCTGGGGTACAGGAGTAAACAGGTGTATAAACTCCTTATGCCTGTACGTCACTGGTTCTAGGTGTTTTCTGGGGTACAGGAGCAGACATGTGTATACACTCCTTATCCTGTACGTCACTAGTTCTAGGCGTTTCCTGGGGTACAGCAGTAGACAGGTGTATACACTCCTTATGCCTGTACGTCACTGGTTCTAGGTGTTTTCTGGGGTACAGGAGCAGACATGTGTATACACTCCTTATCCTGTACGTCACTGGTGATAGGTGTGTCCTGGGGTACAGGAATAGACAGGTGTATAAACGCCTTATGCATGTAGGTCTCTGGTTCTAGGTGTTTCCTGGGGTACAGGAGCAGACAGGTGCATATACCACTTATCCTGTACGTCACTGGTTCTAGGTGTTTCCTAGGGTACAGGAGTAGACAGGTGTAGACACTCCTTATCCGGTACGTCCATGGTGCCAGGTGTTTCCTGGGGTACAGGAATAGACAGGTGTATAAACGCATTATGCCTGTACGTCACTGGTGCTAGGTGTCTCCTGGGGTACAGGAGTAAACAGGTGTATAAACTCCTTATGCCTGTACGTCACTGGTTCTAGGTGTTTCCTCGGTTACAGGAGCATACAGGTGTATACACTCCTTATGCCTGTACGTCACTGGTTTTAGGTGTTTCCTGGGGCACAGGAGCAGACATGTGTATACACTCCTTATCCTGTACGTCATTGGTGATAGGTGTGTCCTGGGGTACAGGAATAGACAGGTGTATAAACGCCTTATGCCTGTACGTCACTGGTTCTAGGTGTTTCCTCGGTTACAGGAGCAGACAGGTGTATACACTCCTTATGCCTGTACGTCACTGGTTCTAGGTGTTTCCTGGGGTACAGGAGTAGACAGGTGCATACACTACTTATCATGTACGTCACTGGTTCTAGGTGTTTCCTGGGGTACAGGAGTAGACAGGTGTATACACTCCTTATCCGGTACGTCACTGGTGCCAGGTGTTTCCTGGGGTACAGGAATAGACAGGTGTATAAACGCATTATGCCTGTACGTCACTGGTTCTAGGTGTTTCCTGGGGTTCAGGAGTAGACAGGTGTATACACTCCTTATCCTGTACGTCACTGGTGCTAGGTGTTTCCTGGGGTACAGGAATAGACAGGTGTATAAACGCCTTATGCCTGTACGTCACTGGTTCTAGGTTTTTCCTGGGGTACAGGAGTAGACAGGTGTATACACTCCTTATCCTGTACGTCACTAGTACTGGTGATAGGTGTTTCCTGGGGTACAGGAGGAGACAGGTGTATAAACGCATTATGCCTGTACGTCACTGGTGCTAGGTGTTTCCTGTGTACAGGAGTAGACGGGTGTATAAACGCCTTATGCCTGTACGTCACTGGTTCTAGGTGTTTCCTGGGGTACAGGAGTAAACGGGTGTAGACACTCCTTATGCCTGTACGTCACTGGTGCTAGGTGTTTCCAGGGGTACAGGAGTAGACGGGTGTATACACTCCTTATCCTGTACGTCACTGGTTTTAGGTGTTTCCTGGGGTACAGGAGTTGACAGGTGTATAAAATCCGTATGCCTATACGTCACTAGGGTATCTGTAAGTGTACGGAGTTATTTTCCCGTTAACTTGAATAAACATTTACACCAGAACGTAAAATAACGAATGCTGTCGTGTCAGGTTCAATAATCAATTCAATACGGAAAAAACCCCACGATAGTACAAATGTGATACTGGCGTTTTTGGCAAACTGTTTATTTCTAATATTTTGCAGAGGCTATCACATATGTGTGTTATGTTCATCTTTTATTATGTTTAGTTAGATATGATAAATTAAACATACAGAAGTATCAAACATAGACATAGTGTCAACAATACCGCTCAAAATACGACGTGTTCGCATAAAACATCTACATCCATTCCAGCCGACTCGATCATGGCCACGATCGACTGTCATTATTCGGATGTGGATGGTATGTTTCTAAAACAATAACTCTACTGACTTGCATGAATAAGCAGAGACGTATGAACAAAAATATCTCTTAACTAGTTAAATGGGTAGAGATAAAAAGGATAACGTTCTACTACATTCATTTATCAATGTTTGTTATAATTTCTATGGCCCCTCGCGACTTTGAAGTGTTTTGGCATTTGAACTTTAACACTTGCTTAATACTTGGTATATCGCCCCTTTTTGCACATTAATATCAATATCAATTAAATTCATTTCTTTGGGAAGGGTATACATTGACACGCACCTTCCTTCGAAAATGGTTAAAATCTTGAATAAATTCATGGATATAAACATATTTATCAATGTGTACTGATATCGATTGGTACCATCCTTTATAAATATACAGCTGTATGCACAATGTATTGAATTATCTAAGACATTATAAAGATTCTTCATTAACATTTAATCAAAATATCTGTTTAAAATGTGTATCTGAGAGTTAATCATCCGAAATGTATTATAGAAAGCTTAAGTACATGTCTACACCAAAGAAGTTATTGGTATCACAGCGTACACTTTATGTAATATGTGTGTGACAACATTTCAAGGAAGAATACGAAATACCATCCAGAGGCACGTTTGAACGTTAACAGCGAGATGCTATCGGCTACGATAGAATATTTGGATATGGGACCGCAATGACGTCATGCAGACAGATCCGCCACTTTTTTCCCATTGCGCTCGTTAGAGCGTGGATCGACCTCCTCAGCGTCGGACTAAGAACTTACAGCTGTTACTGCACGTGATCGAGTGCTACGGGTTTCCAGGTGAGGTACATGTAGGTTGAATTCAAAATATGTGATTGTAAAATGTAAACATTATGTTGTTTGTACATGTATACTTGTAAACATGATAATTGATGCCATTATTAGGATGCTATTTAAGTTCAATTTAATTACTCATGTTCCGATTTGTTCACCTAATATTCATCATTCTGTAAATGAAGACAACTTTGGTGAATTAGCGGTTTTGTGGTGGAAATTTAAAGAAAAGAAACCCAGACACATATGTCAGTTCTAGTGCTGTTAATGATATTGATGAGTTATCATTTCTTACTATGTCGGAGCACACAACAGTCTTGTTTCCCATGTTTTATAAGGTGTTTTTTTAATATAATTTATGTAGTTATATGGTGGCATATGTACACTGTAACCCCATAAAAATTAAATCGAAAGATAAATGATCTTAAAAGGCATTCGAATGAACAATAACGTTTACTAAACCGTGATAAAATCAACAAAAAATTGATAAAAAAACGTTCAAAACGTTTAACTGTCTTAAACGACTTGTAATTGGAAGCATTAGGCCTAATATACTTTTGAAATACATTTAAAACTATATTTACATGTAAAATAAGTATTTAAATCTTTTGATATCATAATATGTAATAAGACACATGAAACCAACGCATGTTATGATGTAATTACACTGCCATGTATCGTCAGCTGGTGATAACCATGTGAATTCATATCCTCACTGCAAATCGAATAATCTCAACTGTAGACATCTGGATGTTCTAGTATCATATTGTTACCAGTTTGTAACTTCTTTTTGTTGTATATTGACGTACCGTTTTTGACCGGGATGTGGGTACCACGCTTCGTCCTTGGACTGTTGATGTTTTGTAGCATCGGGAGAGTCAGTGGTCAGCCATCGATCGGCTTACCTAATCTCAATAGATATCGCCTGTCAAGTCCCTGTAAGTAGATATGGATATTTATCTAAGTACAATCTTGCCAGTATTCAAAGTTGATAGGAATGCTTAAATATAACACTAAGTATAGTACATCTGTCTAAGAAATGAGCAGTTAAAATGTGCAGTTTATTTCACAGGAACGTCACTAAGGTCATAATAAATCCAAATTAAATATACTTTTTTTCTTAAAGAAAAGTTGAGATAAAAAGAGCTTCATCTGAAATCTTACGAAATTGTAAGTTTCTTTAAAATTATATCTGATACTGTCTTAACTTTGATGGCCTCAGAAAATACAGGTTTCAGAACGTACAACATTTTAATGCTCCAAATAATACTGTTCTGTACGGGAATTTGGCAGCGATTGTACAATTACTCTTTTAAGCAATATCGTGTTGTCTAACAGGTATATCGGTTTGCACAAAATATTGTACCAAGTTGTCATAACTATCTCCCTTGTTTACCTGCCTTTTTTGGAGCTTTTAAATTTAAAGGACGCTATGTTATGTCCGTACTACCTATTCGTAGAATGAGTATGACCTTTTATTTTAATGAACATCGCTATGGGACATTCTGAAAATTATTTAATTCTTAAAGCAAATAACCAATTGTTTTAACTTTTTGTTTCCATTTTTATTTGTTTTGTTCGTATACTTTGGGAAGTATTAATGACGGAAAGGTATAAAATAATCATAATTTACACATAAAAGATAAACAATAAATAAATTGACAAGTTTTTTACATGTTATTATTCGAAAACGTTATTATTAATTTCCAGTATTGTTGATAACACAAAATTTGGTTTCCTTGCGTCATGGCTATTATTCATACCATGTTGAGTAACAGTTGAACTACGAGTATGACGTTCCATTTCTCAATAGAATCATCCCTTCTTCTCTAACCTTCGGTTATAGAATCATCCCTTCTTCTCTAACCTTTGGTTTTAGAATCATCCCTTTTTCTCTAACCTTTGGTTATAGAATCATCCCTTCTTCTCTAACCTTTGGTCATAGAATCATCCCTTCTTTTCTAACCTTTGGTTATAGAATCATCCCTTCTTCTCTAACCTATGGTTATAGAATCATCCCTTCTTCTCTAACCTTTGGTGATAGAATCATCCCTTCTTCTCTAACCTTTGGTTATAGAATCATCCCTTCTTCTCTAACCTTTGGTTATAGAATCATCCCTTCTTCTCTAACCTTTGGTTATACAGTTGTGTGACCGCACAACGCACAAAAAATAGCGTGCGCACACCGTGCATACATCGTGCACACACCGTCCTCACATCGTCCACACATGGTACGCACAACTGTGCGATTTAAAGAATCGTTCGCCCCGTTGTGCGCTTCTCTCCGCATAGAATCATAGAATCATCACTTCTTCTCTAACCTTTGGTTATAGATGTACAGTTGATTGGGGATTTAAGAGTTTTCTCCGAAAATCAAGATTTCCATGACAGATGTCGACTGCTGACAGGCAAACTAACAAATCAGGGTTTCCGTGATAGATGTCGACTGCTGACAGGCAAACTAACAAATCAGGGTTTCCGTGACAGATGTCGACTGCTGACAGGCAAACTAACAAATCAGGGTTTCCGTGACAGATGTCGACTGCTGACAGGCAAACTAACAAATCAGGGTTTCCGTGACAGATGTCGACTGCTGACAGGCAAACTAACAAATCAGGGTTTCCGTGACAGATGTCGACTGCTGACAGGCAAACTAACAAATCAGGGTTTCCGTGACAGATGTCGACTGCTGACAGGCAAACTAACAAATCAGGGTTTCCGTGACAGATGTCGACTGCTGACAGGCAAACTAACAAATCAGGGTTTCCGTGACAGATGTCGACTGCTGACAGGCAAACTAACAAATCAGGGTTTCCGTGACAGATGTCGACTGCTGACAGGCAAACTAACAAATCCGGGTTTCTAAACATGCAGGTGGATGAAGACTATGGGGACGTTTTATGGTCGCCGTAATTATATTATAGGAAAAGATACTATTTTTTTGGTGTTATAAGAAGGTCGATTTTTGTACAGTGCTCATTAGTATGTCTTGTTGTTTTGTTGATTGTATCGAAGTTCTCGCTATGAACACGTGTCATTACTTGATTTGACTATTTTACCTGGATTTACTTGACGGGCTTATCCTTCCGAAGCACCTGCTCTTATTTTCATGCAATCGCATGAGGTGAAAGTATGAAATATTTCAAAACATGAATTTTATTTCATAATGTCTATCTGAATTTTTTTATAGCTAACTTATGCTTTGTCGGCAAACTTTTTTTTTTTTTTTATATATATTTGACACGATGTATGGGTCACCCATACGTACATGTAATCCATCAGACTAGAAGAGGAAGGAAATAGGAACTTTAGACGATAGTGGTGATATTTTGATCACATATGCTAATGTTTCAAAAACATTCATGAGCAAAGAGCGCTATTCATGGTGTAATTTATTTCAAGGTGTTGGTTTTTAATATTATGCATACGAGTACACATATGTACAGTTTGTAGCATTTAGTTGAGATTTAAGTGCATATAACTGCAACATCAATTAAGTAAAATATAACATTATAACTCCCCTTACTTCTAATAATTATACTTCCTTTCTTAAGTTGTTGAACTTTGTTTCTAAAAGAAGAAGAAGCGAAATTCCATATACCCAACAAATAAACCTTTAATTAATGTATATTTATATGCTATCAGAAAAGTTTCGTATGTACAATTTCCCAAGTAGATTATAAGCAGAAATTAAAGGTTTTCATAATGAATGGTGTACGAAAGATATTTTGATATCGTGATTCCGCCATTATTCACTGATTTGTATCACATTATTTTTCAATTTCATGAAAAATTCATTCGCTTTCCGGTTTAGATCGATTATTTTGTGAACTGATAATTAACAAAATCATAGCGATATCCTTCTCCAGTCCCATACGCCAAAAAACATGTTTTACCTCCTCTAATATTCAATACCTGGGCCTTCTAATTTTTAAACATTCATTTTACTAAAAAAAAGTAAAACAAATTTTGTGAAAATAACATCTTTCATATTTCAAACAGGGGGAAAAGGTAAAAAAAAAAAGAGAGTGATGTTTTCTATAATTATAATACTCGGTTGTGATATATTGGGACCGAAATTTTACTACGTATCTAATATGATTTGTTAAGAATTTCATCTACATATTCCAAATTAGGTGTTATGTGTCTGCTTACTTTCCTTCAAAACGTGTGTTCTATATTACTTGAAAAAGTAGCCTCATTTGCTTCTAGATGATTCATATCTTAATTTACTTTTTATTACGTTATTTTACATAAGGAAATAGTGCAAATCTGCAAGGGAATAAATAATGGATTCCGCCTCCCTCTTTATAGCACACGACAAAAGCATAGCTGATGCTTGGTTGTAAATTTTCCAATTTCCATTAACTATTTGGTTTTACATCATATTATACAGTGTGGCACGGAGGGTGTAGGATTCTGATCTGAATGATGACGACCAGTTGCTAAATAACCAATTGTTCAGGAGCGTAACGGTCAGAATGTAGAAAACGTCTCCTACTTTGATCGCATATTTAGTGTAAAATCGAACGCCTCCTAACTTAGAAACTTATTTTAGAAAACGTCCTCAAGCTTGATAACTTTACATTTTTAGCAAACGTCCTGAACCTTTATAACTTATTAAGATTTCTCCCTAATTATTTCAGGTTTACTAGACTATGCATTCGGTATTTATGTTTTTTTATCAATCTATATAAACTACCAATTTTTACAAAATTAATTTTGCTATGAATTCATGCTTGTGATAAATGTCAATTTTTCTTAAAGCTTTTCTGGGTACTTTACTTGCCTTTGCTGTTGGATACACAACTAATCGTGTCCTCGATCCAAGCTCTGGAGAACCTATCGGTAAGTTATTGAGAAAGAAAATCTTCAATACGAAAAGGTTTAAAAAATCTACCTTAACACCAAAGCGTCAGCGCTAATACACATGGACAACAACATAACACCACAGCGTCAGCGCCAATACACATGGACAACAAAATAACACCACAGCGTTAGCGCCAATACACATGGACAACAAAATAATACCACAGCGTCAGCGCCAATACACATGGACAACAAAATAATACCACAGCGTCAGCGCCAATAAACATGGACAACAA